TACTCAATCAACACAGAATATAAGTCACACACATACACGAGTCATTCGTGTTACTCGACCAGCTCGGCCCGAAAATCACTCACAATCTGTTCCATCACTCTCCTTTGCTTTGATTTAGCTTCGGGTAAATTGCTGACAATAAATTTAATCCGCAAAATTGACTAACTGAATTCGCAATCGAAAATCCAATGTAAATTGAATTCAAACACAAGATTTGCATTGGCGATGGGGCCAAAATGTAATTTAACACCTGAATAATGCTTCTCTCTATCTGACAACACGGTGGAAAATGGAAAACACCACATACGATTCAACATTTGTATATTATGTTTTGGTAAGGACGAGAGATTGGTATGAAACGTGGCACGCCTGCCAAACGAAATATAAATTGAATTGCTCATTTCGAAGACAAATCATCGTCGGCACACAAAACCACTCCGGACATTTGATAAAGACATATGGCATTTTGAGTGTACAAATTGACTGTGAACGGAATGAATGGATGGATTGTGAAATCGGTGAAAATGATTAATTGATACAGAAATTTGAATTCATGACTGCACTTTTCGAAAATTCAAAAGAATTTTTACAAATATTGGGATGGACATTTCAATTTTTGTTACGAAAACTATTTAATTTGGTAAAATCATGTTCGCCAAAATGAATACAATTAAATTTTTTCCATATTTCTTCCTCACAAATGAACTCATCTCTCTCTCTCTCGCTCTCACAAAAGATTCTACAAAAGCAGTAATTTAGATGCTTCTTCCATTTGGTTTACTTTGTGGAATTCTCATATCGCTATCGTTTAAATTCTAATTCATGACAACCATCGTAAATTAACCTATCCTCGCATTGAGGCGAACATTCGGTATTGGATTTAATTTAGCGAAACTATTTTCTTCACAAAACAGAAAAAACAATCATTTTCAAATCATTAGCATATATTCTCGTTCGAAAAGTTATGCGGACAAAGGGAAAAGTTGTACGTATGTAATGAAAATTGGCTGTGTAGAAAAGGCTCCAACTATTTTCGGGGTGAACGGAAACGGCAATTAAATCAAATTAAATTGAATGTTTACCATTTTCATTTGGCATTGGATTGGTCGTGAACTGAAGCTGAAATCATTGCTTCGTACTGCATGAGAATTATGGAGGGTGAACACAGTGTTAAGGTGTATGCATACATTGCCATTGAAAACAATGGGAAAAAAGGTTTCTAATCATGTAATGTATATGTAAATGCAAATCGCATTCAAATGCCGTTTCACCGAGATAAGAAACTGCATAAACTGAAGAATGGAGAAGTATAGCATGTATTCTTACTGCCAAACGAAACAACAACAAAAATAGAAGATAATGTACGATGACAGAGCGTTTGAGGAACATCATGACTTTTCCTAGCGTTCATTCAACAATTAATGTAAATTTAAATGATTCTAATTCTTTTTGTGAAAATGAACTGGATCGTGTCAGTCGTGAAAGTGTCGCTATTGTTTTTCAGGGCGCAGATTTAACGAGACAATTGCAATCACAATGGAATCATATGGAAAATATTGTGAGAATGCGCCAAACACGAAGATGAAAAAAAGAAATTAATGAAAACATTAAATTTAATTGACAGTCAAAATGGACTAATTAAGTTGTCGCCAAAATATGTTTGGTGCGCTTTTTTTCATTGTTGCTGTTATTTTTATTAGTCAATTGAAATGATTGTTTCTCCTTTATTTGAACTGAGATAGATATAACTTTGTCGTCGGTTGTTGTTTTTGTTGGTGGCGGTGGTGGTGATGGTGCATTGTTATCGTACGCTGTGTGTTATTGTTGTCATTTCATTATATTATTATGTTTTTGTTTGATATGAACTCGCGTTAATACAATCCACATTAACAACATTTTCAAGTCATTAAGAGAACAAAAATGGTAATGAATCTTCCCTAAGTCACCACCAACGTTGTGTGCTGCCATTGTCGCTCTTCACTCTTTCTAGTTCAGTGACACAACCATTTCTTTTTTCCGCTGTGCGAAATGTTGTGATTTTAATGAAAATTAAATGTTCTTTCTAATGTTGTTTAATTTACTTGTGTTACATTCTAAATAGTACACTTCCAATCCCATCAAACATTGTGCACAAACACACACACATATACTCAAACAAACATATTCACATAGCGATAATGCCTGTAAAAAACATTGAGCACATCGTGCGTTAAACTTTGTCGTTTAACGTTTGTTTGTTATCATCAGAAATTTCATTGAAATCGGGAAGATTTGATGGAAGCAAGTGAGTTAAAACGATCGCATTGACACACATTTCTGTACAATAGAATCAAAGTTTTGTGAGCTCACTTTATTGGCGCAATAATACGATGCAGTAAATTGAAAATTACATTCATAACTTTCAGATGAACTACATTATTATTGTCATTGTTTTATGGAATGAAGAGCATATGCTCAATGAAACCGAGGGTAAAACATCCTTTTCATTTCGGATTTGGGAACTTTAATTACCATTTAGAAAAGTTCATGAACTGATTTCAACGCAAGGAATTGTTTTCCAAGACAATTTTCTGGGTGTCAAGATAATAAGACCCAATTTTATTCGAAAGCAAGTTAAAAAGAGATTCAGCCAAACTGACCATATTTGAGATTGAATGTTTTTTTGTGTAATAAAGTTGAAAATACTTGCACGATTAACGAAGAAATTTCGTTTGTTTCATATTAAGGAGAGTTTGAGTGAGAGACAAGCAAGAGAGAACTTGGTGATTGAGAGAATGTCTTAATTCAAGAAAATAATGTTCGCTGTTTGACTCCAACACCGACAGTGAGAGCTTAGGCAAACTTCACTTTCTGACTCGAATATATGGCATCCTTTGCTTCTGCTCTGTGTTCAGTCACACTTTCTTATTTTATCAATTTCATTTTATTTTTACGATGGCATCCCATTTATTCGACGCATTAACATCGGGGATTTGATACATTTTTGCTCAGTGTGCAAAACAATTAAATAAAATATTCGAATGTAATTTTCACACTAAATTTCTAGACGGCAAGGCAAATTTACGGCTACTTTTATACCGCATCGTACACATAGTATTTTTTTTTTTATTCCCATTTAAGAATATCAAGAAAATAAACAGTTTTCGTAGTTCGGAAACCATTAAGTCCACTCATTTGATACAACCAATAAAACAGATAAATCCTAATGAAATTTTTTATCATAACAGAAACACATTGGTTTACGACTACTACATACATCCTAAATATGTGGAGCAATCAAAGCGACAATCCGTGAAATGCACACACACACACATACATAGTATTTTCCTCGATAATAATTTCTAACATACAATGTTTTATTATTATATTTTGTTCATTTTATGCCCAATCACCGACGAACAATTGTGCAAGTTTGCCGAACCGAATGCCAGACTGAATGATAAAGATAAATTACGAGGAAAAAAAGCGAGCAGAAAATTATTCAATTTTCACATCTCGACTCGACAGCTTACTCTTGACCATTTTTGGCCGATTGTATTGTCTGTTTTTCCCGCTTTATCCCTTTGGCAAAATGTGTGTCAGATATCGTATTTTATAGTGCATTTTTTCGCTGTGCTTTTTTCAATTTTCCATCGGATATCTTGTCATATATTGGTGTTAATAAAAATTTATTGCGCGAAAACTAACAGATAGAAAATCTCTCAATTTATATTTATTGGCCGTGTTGTTGTTTTTCTTGTCGATTCTTCCTCTTTGACGTGTGTTACACAACATACATATATTTTCGATTTTCACTCTTCGTCAGTTTTATTATTATTATGTGTTTGTGCACCCCGCAACTATGTATTATATCTGCTGGATTGATTCTTTTTATTTCATATGTATGTATACAATACACACGTTTATCTGTACAACTTTTCCCTGGCGAAAAGCATTCATTTCACCAAATTTGACGCAAATAAAACATCGAATGAATGTCGTGATGTGATCGTCGACCAACAAAGATGCATGCTACTAAATTTACGAGTTATCACCAATGAACCAAAATGAACTGACGTCACACCAAGTGGCCGACAATTTACTGAATACATTCCAAAAAACACACGTCAAACTATTACTCATTTCATGCTCCATTTTTCTGATAAAAACAATTTCATTTTTGTTTCATTTCTTCCTTCTCCATCGAAGATTTTTTTTTGTTACATTCCGATTGGAGGTGGTGGGAGAAAAAGAGGGTGTTTGACATCAACGTTTCTTCAGTGCACGCAATAAAAACCAAACGACGGGCCAAATCGAACCAAATTTCAGATGACACCGAATATGAATTATTGCATTATTTATGATTATTTTCCGTGCAAGAAAAACAAATAACAATTGAATGCGTACATATATAGATTTTGCTCAGACTCTGGAGTTAAAAGAACGACGACAAAATAAATGAAGCACGAGTAAAGGAAGATAGACGATTTCCAATAAAATAAAATGAGAAGTGGACAATGTGGAAGGTGATGGATTGTAATACACGGAATTTCGATGAAGAAAATAGGAAATTGCTTGCCTCAGATAATATTGCCACCTTTGATTATGGCTGGTCACTGCACAAAACGAATTGTTTCACTTCTTTCAATGAATTTGAAACGGGATCAATGATTTTTGCTGTTTTTGTTCTTTTATGGGTTTGAACAATATATTTCATTGGACGCTATTAATGAATAAAAATGAAAAAAAGAATAAACAAATAAAAGTGATCTGTAGTTACAAATAAAACATATTTTGAAATGCTGTCGGTTTGATGTCAATACAAATTTGTGTTGTGCTCTTGTGATTTTTGACAGATCAATTTCTATATTCGCCCGAAAATTACACATACAAATGTACACTAACAATCGCCACTGCTGTCGTCGAATTGTCATTTATACAAGTGAAAAAGATACTTGTATGGCCATTTCATATTGTGCCGTGTGCATATTCTGTTGAGTAGTTAGTTATCATTCGTTTGTGTTAATAGAATGTACTAAGTCACACTGTTGAATTCGTAATTTGGGTATTTTGTGTTGTTTTCGGTATAAAATTTGTACGTACATAAAAAAGAGCCGAAACATCGGTGTGCTGCAAATTGTTTACAATAAAATCAAATTTTATTTATAAAATAATCTTTTGTATGAAATGAGTGGCTTAACAAAAGTTGTTGGCTCAAGTGAAGAATTCGATACATTTGAAGAAAGTATGATGAAGCGGCCAATGTACACAGATCAACACCATTGCGAAATTGCTTTTCATCGATTTTCGTTGTTACGCGCGAAAAATTTATTGACGGATGCCGTGATATTGAGCAGTGATGATAAAAGGTGCACGACAAAACTACACACACTCACATGAAAAGCCTCTCTCTCTCTCGCTTTCTTCCTTGATCGAATAAATTTGTTTTTGATTAATTTAAATTAGGTTCAATGTGCACAGTAACATAATGGCAGGAAAAAGTGATTATTTTTTCAATACATTGCTGAATGCCGTCAATAACGAAAGCGAAAACGTCACCGATGAACATAATTCGTTTTTGCAATGCACGACACTGGACATTGTGTGTCAACTGAGCATTGATTCGTTGGCGTTGGAAATGATTATTACATTTTGTTATTCAGGCGCTATTGAACTGACCGTGGACAATGTTGAAAGGTATGTTAATATCTTATATCTAATATTACTACACTTCTAATATTTCTATATTATACTTATATGAAAGTATGCTCATCGGTGCTAGAGAATTGGCGATCGATTCATTGACATTACTGTGCTCAAAAATGCTTGGTGACATATTGGACAGAAACAATTGTATTCAAATACTTGAAATTGCCGATAAACAGGAGATAGACACACTCAGAGAAAAATCAATCACCGTAATTTCAGCAGAGTTGCCAAACATCAGCAGACTCCCAGAATTTTATCTGTTGAATGGATATCAAATGTACTGGTTGATTGAACTATTGTCAAATAGTCAAAATGGAATTTTTGATGATTTATTGAAATCGTTGAATGACGCAGAAAGTTCATTGCCGCACTATCTTTTTGATGGCACTGACACACATGCAGCAGTTCGAGCTGCGGTAAGTATGCGACAATAGAATATTGATTTTTTACATAAATTACAAGCGAATTTAATAAATTCTGAATTCTAGTTCATCATTGGCTATTTTCAAGGCACAATCAGTCAAAATTCTTTTAACGGCCATTCACCACTTGTAAATGCTGCACTGAATGTATCCCGTGTCATTCACCGTGCTCATAGTACTTGTATTCTGAACGGATCCGATCATCTTGACAGTGAACCTGATTTCGAAAGCGAGGAAGAATTCGTGCAATCACCTCCAATCCCAGTGCTGGTGCTTTTAAAACGTAAAACCATTCAATTTAATACATTTTGCGATATCGAACAAAAATGGGAAAAATGTATAATGAAAGTGGATCTAATGCAAGCCATCGAATCATTTCGAGATGCAGTTATGATACCAGTCGAGAAAAATATTGTGATATTCAATATGAGAAATGGTTTTATATCACAGGCACAGAGTTTGTCATTAAACACTACGAATATTGAATGTATCACACTACCCATTGATATTGAATGTGCACGATTAGCATTGTTTTGTACTTTAAACAACAAAATTTATTGCTTTGCACGATCGGATCAACAATATTATAACATGTAAACACATTTTAGTAGTTAAAATTCCCTTTTTATTTGTCCATCTTGATCTGATGTGTTTTTTCTCTCAGATTTGATACAAAAGCAAAGCTATGGTCAAGCGGCCAAATAGATGATGTGATGGACGCCAAATATATAGTGGGTGTTAAAAACGAGTTATATTTCATTGGATGTGGTTTCATGCGAACAACTGTTCGCAGTTATCATATTGAGAGAAAGCAATGGACATCAAGAGGCCTACTGCGCATTGAAAACAAAGAGAATTGCTTCAAAGCAACTGAACTAAATGGTTCCATCTTTGTAGTGATGTGTAAGTCATTCGGGATTTTTTTTCACTATCAATGCAATTCCATTTATTGGTTTTCATTCGTATGTTATATTTATTTCGCAGCTTGTTTTGATTCAGCGAAAATGTACAATGGAACAGAGTTTGTTGTTCAGCGATATGATGAAAATGTTGAAGATTGGATTGTTATAAAAAAAATCTACTTTACACACTATGTCGATTATTTCCACTTGGACGTTATTGGTGGTTGCTTGTACTTGTTTTATAGTGATGGTGAGGTCCAGATATACAACGAAGAGCAGCATGAATGGCAAAAAGGGCCTACTATCGATTACAATGTGCTCGACGTATCGATGTGCATGATTGAAGCCAAAGAAGATGACAAATGGGCCCATAAATAACCGTTTGGCAAAAGTCGGTGATTAAATAAAATTAATTTCTATTTTTTTTTTTGAAAAATTGCATCAATTGTAAAATTTGTAAATGTTTTTTGAACAAATAATTGTTAAAATTATTTTTTTATTAAATGTTGTGCATTTGTTCAAACTATTTTTTCCACAGCAATGAAATCCCTACTACCGTGCTAGATGGTGCCGACACGAGTGGACGGATTTTTAAATTTATTTGAACGACGCCATGTTACTATACTTGTCCATTACAACGTACATGTAACAGAAGAAACACACAGTCCATGTCCACGCTATTGGACATAACCGATTTGAACCGTCAATGTGAACTAGATCAAGTATAGAACTTTACATAGGATCATATACGATGAATATGGATTACACAGTCTGTTTCAAAATACCGTCACCAATGTCGACACCATTTGACATCAAAATTTTGACAGTAAAAATATGTGTTATTGTTGTTGTCGTTTCATTGCTGTGATTTTTTCTTCACAAAATTTTACAATTAGTAAAACATATATTATACACAGCCAGCGACTTCGATGTGGCACTATAAAATAATCAATTCTGTTTACCGATATTTATATGTTTCAGATTTTCTTAAATTCGTAAATTTTCTAATCTTGTATGAGCATTTAGATTAAGAGTGTCTCGATGTTCTAAAAAGTATATTTATTAAATTTTCTACATAGGGTGTTTCCCATATCTGTAATTAAAAAAGGTATTTATTAATTCAAAGTAGGCAAAATTCTATGTTAGTTAATGGCATTTATGCAACGCATCGATTGATGGTCACACTTCCCGAAGCAAAAAACTGTTTACAAAATCGAATGATACTTACAATGGAAAAACGCTCCGTTTGTACTCCCGCACAGCCATCTCAACCAAATGGGAAATGACTTGTTTTGTGCATAACTAACCCACATATTCGGGATAGCAGTTACGTAACAAATATTATTTATGCTTTATTTTATTTTATTGTATGGTATTGTGATGATTTGTTGGCTGCTATTCTAACTCGGGCTCGGATATGTCCACGTCGTTATCGTCATCGAAGACGGCGGCATCGGCGTTGATTTGATTCCAATATCAGTTGATCACAGCAGGTATTGGAAGTCCAAGCAATGTCCATAGTCCTGAATCAACAACGACACCAAATCCACGACAATCATTGTATGAAAAAAAATTTCGACCATAATGTAGGCACATCAGACAATAATACGAGTACACATTATTTGGCTTTCAACGTATCGCTAGTACGTAACGCTAGTACTTACGATTAATTGTTGAAACGATTGTTAAAATGATTGCAACAATCAAATGTATTGAAAACACACAATTTTGCCAACACATTTCCTTGGATAGTTTAACAAAACTGAATCTAAATGTCACAATGCACACACTTTCTTCTTTTTCTTACTCGACAAGATTATTGTATGTGTGTTCGAAAGTAAAAAAACACGCTCCAAACTAATGCACATTACAAAATCGATTCGTAGTTTGTCATATTGCATTCAGGCTACAAACAAAAAAAATCTACAATTAACATGTGTACGAGCATGGAACCAACACAAACTTGTCAACAAAATATAAATGTGTGATCTTTTTCGATGTTGTCCCGAAAACAGTTTTGACACAAATCTGCTACGACCAAAAACATCGATGGTTTGATGCTGTGTAAATCGTATACGTTGTTTCTCAAAGCAATGTCGTCGTGTATGTGTTTATAAAATGCCGAATTGGCACTGTATGTTGAAATGCGAGAGTAAAATATTGGAACATAATCAAATAACGAAACCAATTCGTAGAATGTTTTTTTCACGATACACATGAAATCGGTTACATTGCTCTTAAGTCTTAGCGTATATCCACACTCAATGTACTGTATTCAGATTAATTTACAATGTGTCCATTTTTTCTTTTTTTCTCCGTTTTGTTTTGTTCTACATATTCTAATCTAAAGATTTCGACTTTATTTAACTCAAAAAATTATCAAATTATTGATTGTTATTTTTAAGCAAATAAATACGATTAATTTCATCTTTAAATGCATTTTATGTAGTACATTTTTTTCTTACAAAATCAAATCGTAAAATCAATCGTATTGAATCTCACGAATGGTTTTTCTTACATTCAATGTGTGGAAATAATTATAAGCGATACTTTTTGATAATTTCTATTTGGTGTGTGTTTATTTGGATTTATATTCTATGGGTCCGGCTCAGTGACATGGATTTCATTAAGTTGAGGGTGACGATGTAATTCCCACGTTTATGAAACAAGAGCAAGAACCTTGTATTTTGGTAAAGTATATTTATTTGTGTACGCTGTACGCCGAGACAGAGCGTGTTTATTTATACAAATGCTGTCGTCATCTTATTTGGTGTGATGTGATCATAGAATTTATTCATGCACAAAACATAATCATAACAATGATTGTTGCCGTTAATCACTTGCAAAAAGTACATCGAAATCCCCCGAATGCCGAAAAGTGTACACTACACACACTGAACACTAAAGAACGAGAATCAACTCAGCGAATAAATAATTACATATTAAATTATTATTTATAAACAAGTCTGAACAATTTAACGCACAAAATCATCCTGCGTGCGAGAGACAAATGGCAAAACGAGTGAGATGGAAACCGAAAAAGAGATAGAATATATAAAGTTGTGAATCTGTAACATCTCTAAATAAACAACATCTCATTTTTCATATGTGTGTTTGTGTGAAATACAAAATTCATGAACGTGATGAAATCATACATGATATTGTGGTATATTTAATTCCAAAAATCGCCTATTTTAACTGTGGCATATACTATACACAATACAGCATAAGCTGCTCGAAATTATTTGGAATTATAGAGAGAGGTACCGCGCGTAAGATCCATTCGTCTGTTGAACTTTAAATATCATATTAAAATACATTTATTTTGTGTGTTCGGAGAGAGCTCGGATTTAGCATTCCTATGTTTCCTTTTAAAATCAAATACAAGATTGGATCTATTTCTCTCCTTTTTCAGCATACTACCAAAGTGCCCGGTCGCTGGTGTTCGCATAAATGTATTGCATTTATATTTTATGTACAAGTACATTCATTTGTTCGTATGTTCATTTGTTCGTATGTTATAGCAACACAACAAGATGGTTTATTTTTAAATGAAACCCTTTTACGGATCGTGTATTTTCTTACGTGGCACTGTTAGCTGAACTAAATATCAAGCCCGCACGCATTCGTAATGAATTTTCGTGCGTATATATATAAATATATTTAATATGTATTTTCGGTTTATCATATTAAATTTAAATTATATTATACGCACATTGGCCACATACACAAAATCAACGGTGCACAGGCACACACAATCTCAACTACACACATATTCATATTATAGTATATTATACAGAATATGCTTATTTTAAATTTCAGATTTTACGAATTACATTTTTCACATTATTTCATCTTTGACAATGTGAGTGCTGCTCACTCGATCTATCCATCTAAGTGAGCACTTAGATGTGTGATGCCGACGAATAATGCTTAAGCACACGCATTTCATAAACGAAATCCAGAGAACACAAAGAAGGAGGAAGAGAGTAAACTTGCAAAAATATTACATTTATTCATAAATTATATCGATATATGACGCCCATACATCACTAAATAATTAAAATGCCATAAAAATCAATTAAACGAAAGCATACTAATCAACAATGCTCATTTCACTATCGCTAAGCATGATTTCAATATAAGTGCTATGCACACATACGCCCGCTTTTACACCACATTTTGAACAATCAATGAACAAAATAACACCTCACGCTTCAACTTACCGGTATATTGCAATGTGTATGTTACATTGTATTGGGAAAGGGAAATTCATTAAAACTTGTGAATTGAATTTTTATTTGATTATTTATTGAATAAAGTTTAAAAAATAACTTACTTTTGCATAAATGAGTAATTGGATTTTTAATTTAAATTGTCTATTATGAAAATAGCAAAATTCCAAACACATGTCCTTGTCAAATTGAATTCAAGTTTTCTGTTAAAATGTAAACAATTTCTAAACAGCTGCTATGTTATAAATTCGAACTTTTCTTTGAAATTATGCATAATCGAAATTATTGCGTGAATGGTTGAAAAGTCATAAATTCATTTGAAAACTATTTTTTTGGTGGTCAGTGTGTTTTTTGATTATGTAGTTAGTTCGATAGATTCAATTGAACTGAATCATCAAGTGAATGTTTTGAATTCATGTGTCGTTAGCCATAGAACACGTATTCATTCTGTAGAAAATTGTTATCGTCAATATATACACTCAATTTATCTCGACTCACACTCACGCTCAATCGAAGTGAAGATAATAATGGAAAACGGAACCATAATCCATTGGGAAATTTTTCGGAGAAAATCATTTTACAATCTATTACACATCTGATAGATATTTTTCGTATTCCAACCATAGTATCACCGGTACTAAAAATGAATGCTTGAATTTCCTTTTGCGTTTTCCTTTTCAGTTAATATTGTTAAAATTCAATTCGGACGCTGGTATTATTGAATTGTTTGAATTCAATCAGTCTGCCCATCCAATCGTTTCGTCTGCATGTGAATTCATTTTGGCATATTTCGAAATCGATTTTCACAAATGTTATTTCAGTTCGGTGTGTTTCATGTGGAACGATGAAAATGGAAATGGTAATGAAGCGAGCATCAATTGAATTATGTATTTGGTTATGTATCTACTTGAAAAAAAGGGGCCAAAGAAGATGCTATATCATTAGTAATGATTAAAAAAACATTTGAAAATTATTTTTGGCAAGGAAATGACTGTAAAATCGGCAGTTGGACATTTAACGAACCAATGAAATCGTCTTGAGTCATTTAGGTGAATTAATATCAAGAGAAAAACATTTACCCATTGCTTCAAATGTATCTGCAGTAATCGGAAATATTTCACCAATAAATATTATTTATTGGATTGAATTGGATCATTTGTTTGATAACAGGCTATTGACTGTTTCCTGTGGCATATTAAAACAATACGGTGCACGCGCGTCAAACAGGCGAATCATGGAAGACATATATAATTTGAATAGATTTTAAATAAAATTGTAATCGACTCAATTCATAGCAACAATACACCATGTTTAAAATGGTTATTTTTATACTTTTGTAATTTCCATTGTGAATATTTACGCGAAAGACACTTTCCTTGTGTATGAACCACACGTGCGTTGCTAACCAAAATGAATTTATAAAATTATCATTTTCCGCATAATTTTTTGTTGTTGAAGGAAGAAAATCACCCTTAAAATTGGCACCAAATGCCACATTAAGTCTGCGACAAGTGGAAAAATATAAGCAGGAAATGAAGGTTCGACTGCAATATTGACTGATAACAATAAAGAAAGAACATTACAAGCAGACAAAGCAAAAGTTAAAACGTTGTTGTGCCTCAGTGGATGATATTGATGGTTTCAATTGGATTGAAGATGGCAAACAGACGACAAAGACCCTAATGGTTGTACAACGACAACAAAGTAACATAAAAAAATCAGATGTAGTTAAGAGAGAGAGACAGAGGATGGGAACCACACAGAAAATTCGGTATACCTATTCAAATTTGAACATCTATAATATTTGCATATATGTCGATGGCTTGTGGCATTAACATTTAAAGAATATAATAATACTTTTATGAGTTTTAAAACAATGATCAAAGCAACCACCAGCAATAACGATAATAACTGTAATTAGCTCGGGAAAAATCCCGTAAAATGGAAAAATATCCGTGTTTAAGTTGCAGATGCCAAAAACTGTGAAATAGAGAGAAAGAGAATGTCACAGATGCGCTTCTTTGGATAATGTTGTATTTATTTTAGATTGTACTCAGCGCAACATTCAATTTCCGTTTGTTATCATCATCACATGACAATAATGTCCATTTGGAGTCGCTTAAATATTCTACTTCTATCTTTTTCACACTGATGACACAATAAACATTTTTTACCACATTCCATTTCTCTTTGTCTCTTTTTCATTTTCTGTAGTTGCAGAGATAGTAAATAAATGTAGACTCACTTAAATTTGGTTTTAAATTTCCAATGCAATGTCTCATCTCTCATCGGTGTCCACTGTCCATTTTTCTTTTTCCATCATATTATTAACTTAAAGCCATACGATCTATTTATATACAGGGCGGTCCATAATTCCATGTCAATATTTTCACAAAATTTTCCTTAGCTCATGAGGGGTAAAAAATTGTATGCGAATCGGCTGTTTTAGTAGGGTTACAGCCCTAGCCCCCTTAGGGTCAAAATTTTCTATGTTCTGGTTGATTTCGACGGTCACCAATGCGGTATTTTTCATTATTGGCTTGTTGGAAAGTCTCTCAGTCCTCTTCAAAATACCATGAAAAATTTTTGAAAAAAAGTTTCAGTGGA